ACAACTTGCATAGCCGCATAAACGTATGCATAAAAAAAATTATCCAATTTCTCACATTTCTCCTATGAAGGCGCACGTAAAATGTGATTGGATAATTTTCTTTATGCATACGTATATGTGCTATATGCAAGTTAGTGTGGATAAACCATAAGGGTCGACAGAAGGAAGTATAAAGACTGATGGAGACCTCTAGTCTCTTCAAATACGATCAAGTGTGATATATATTTCAGGTTATAAGAGAAAGAAATTACAAGTTTTAATTAATTTGCAATAAAAAGATGGTTTTTTTGTCGTTGAATCTTTTAACGAGAGCTCGTGGACCTGATGAATTTTGGCGAAAACGGAAAATATTCAAACTTGCCGCGGTAAATGATTTGTCACGATAGATACTAGATCTAAATGTTCTTCATCAAAACATATTGTCAAAAAAATATATGGGAAAACTTTTAATGTTTTTAGCATTTTTTTGGTAGAAGAAGGAATTGTTACAGCATAGCTATCAGAGGCGTACATCGAGCTCTTACATACAGCACTATGGGCAGAAAATTGAAAAAAGAGGATATGAAAGAGGTAAAATTGATCAAAACACTTAAGAATAAAAATTGTATGTATATTTATATATGTGTATGCATATAGAATTCATTTTTCTAAAATTTTGTGCTCCTCTTCTGCTTTCAGTTGCGGGAGCAAAGATTAGGAGCTGCTACGAGTGAACATGGTATAAATTTGACGATCCTCAGGGAAGGATTAACAAGATGTAATATTCTATTAAATCGAAAATCACTGACTGATTTAGCGATTTGGGAACCTCGATCTTTCAAAGCCATCACGGACATCGCATGTGCGAGAGCAAAGCAAGATCATTTTAAGACTAAACTGAATATTCAAGTACCAAAGAATGTTATTGTAAGGGGTTTAATTAAATAATTTTTCATAAGTATAAAATAATAAGTTTTTTCCTTCTAATATATTTATTTGTTACTTTTGAGATATTTTCGAGTTCATGTTAATCATAATCGTATGTCAATGATACTACAAAAGTCGCTAGATACACGATTAATTTTTTTTATGATACGTCATTTGTGGCACCATAAATACATCTAATCAAATTACAAGAATCAATCATGTACACGACAACAATGCAACATCGAGTAATCTTTATTAGCTACCTTGCAAGAGCTTAACATGATAAATGAAAATAGAACTCTCCTTTGTGACATTACATTTTATCAGAACAATTATATATGTTCAAACGGAATAGGCAATTTTTTGCACGTACTCCGAATAAGAATAAATTTCATCTGATATAATCTCATAAATATATTTGTTTCGTCAACAACATGTATATTCAACAACGAGCATTGACGATTTGTACAAAATCGGGCTTGAGTGACGCGCCACCAACCAAAAATCCATCGATATCCTTTTCTTTTGCTAAGTCTTTGGCATTGCCTGCTGTCACGGAACCACCGTAGATAATTCGTAAAGTTTGTGCAACATCGGGGTTGACATTCTTGCACAACCACTCTCGTAATTTTTCATGAACCTCTTGCGCTTGCTGCGGCGTCGCAGTTTTACCTGTACCAATTGCCCATACTGGTTCATAAGCCAAAACTACGTTTTCCCAAGATTTAATTTTATCCGCTATTGCCTTGGTTTGCCTATAAACTACTTCTTCGGTCTTTCCTGCTTCGCGCTCTTCCAATTTCTCACCTATACATGCAATCACCTGGAAATGACAAAAAATATTTTTTTTCTCTTGCTTTTATTATAATTAATCGTGTTGCATTATGTGTATATTATTTTTCTACATATAATTTATGTCTATTCTTTGAACATGCATATATATATATATATATATATATATATATATATATATAGTATATATATTTAATAAAATATAATTGATTTTTATATTTACTTTCAATCCAGTTTCTAAAGCATGTGCAACTTTCTCTGCAATTAATTCGTTCGTTTCATCGAAAACGTTTCGACGCTCTGAGTGGCCAAGAATTACCCAGGGAATGCCATTATCCAGAAGCATAGCTGGACTAATTTCACCAGTAAATGCTCCTTTAGCAACTTTGTACGTATTCTGTGCACTGACACTAACATTGCCAGGAACGATGGAAGTTACATACGTAAGATATATCGCTGGAACGCCAACTACAACCTCTATAAATTACAAAAATGTCATTTTTTCAATTAAAAACAGACAGTCCATAATTGTACCAAAATTGAAGACTAAAGAACTTGAATAAGAAATAGAACAAAATGATACATTATGTAATCATAGAACATCGCTATTAGTTTCTTGGATGTAAATATCTGAAGGTAACTTGACAAAATTTTGGAATTTTAAATATTCATTTTACTTTTTTATTTTATTTTATATTTATCTATATTTTTAGTTTTTTTTTTATTTGCTCGATTGAATTTTACTGCGCTCATAAATATAATAATTTGCGATTGCAATTTGAATACATTTTTTGTAAATAACAGGTGTTGATTTTTCCAATACGAGAAACATTTTGTACAGAGTGACTGGCATTCACATACCAACATTAGGATCGAGTGGACCAGTTTTCAGGAACGCGACGATGTCGCCAATCTCGCTCTTTGTGCCGTTCATCTTCCAGTTACCGCCAACGAAGAATTTGCGTCCCATCGTTTGTCTTATGTGTGCACCTCGTGACAGCTTATGCAACGTGCGAGCTGCAACTAATCTTTTTTTTCGTCGAACGCAAATTGAAGTTCGAACTCGATTCTCTGACCTACTCGAACCCCTATCTAATCTGACCTACTCTGACCTACTCTGACCTTCGCGCGCACACCAAGGTGAACATACCCCACCCATGGTGGTTCCACCCAATCATATTTTACATATGTACATCTTTGTGATAGAAATGTGACTGGATAATTCTCTTTATACATATGTTTATGCGGCTATGTAAGTTGTGTGGATATATCTTACAGCTTACGACCATATTGTAGAACAGGCATAATCTATAATTGCGTAAGCATAGTTGTAAATGCTTGTAGTTGTAAAAATTCACCAATTACAGCCGAATATGACAAGAATATTAGATTATAAATAGTGAATTCTTACAACCATTTACAACTACGCTTATGCAAACTTAAAGTCTGTTCTACAATAGTGATAATTAATTAGAAATTAACCAATCATAGTCAATTATTTTTGTCATATTCAATTGTGATTGGTCAATTTCTTACGTTCTATTGTAAAACAGGCTTAAGGCCCTAAGATTTTTTATTACCGGCTTCATTGTAGAACCTCCATAAAGTATATAATCTAAAGTTTAATTCAAGATTCCTAACCTCTCGCTAGTCTGTTGACAGTATCATGCGAACAGTGATAATTTATAAATCAAGATTTTCTTATTAGGAGGTAAGTATATACTCACGGTATTTATGATATATACGATCGACAGAATGTCGGAGCGATATCTCATTACGAGTCACGTATACAGCGTTCGTTAATATAAGTTTTATTGACATTGTAAAATCTGTTAAATTTTCATAACGAATGATAAAGAATGCCAACTTCTTTTTATGTACGTACTTCTCGCTTGAAACTTATAATAGCTAGCTCTGAGCACCTATTATGGATCCATAATTTCCAAGCGTTCGGAATGGATTCCAATCGGAATTATTCAATTATTCCCTAGATTTCTATTGTGTTTTCTGGGGAAAACGGATAATTCCGATCGGATTTCATTCGAACGACGTACTCCTTAATAGGTACCCTGATAATTCTGATATTAATAGTGATGAGAATTCATCATATAAAATAGATTTACCGATAATTCGGCTCACTGCTCTTTGTTTTTATTATGAATATTAAAGATTTGTTTTCCAATGATAAACTTTTACTCCGAGTCAGCTCTGTCGATAAAAATCTTTCTGGATCTATCTTCTAAAATTCGAGAAAAATTGTATACTCGTTTATTATATTTACAAATCTTCTGTTTTAGAAGACATCGAGAGATGGCAAGCGAGGAAATATATAATCGAGAGGCCAATAAGAAACTGCAGCCCATATTTAAAAATCGTTCGTTTCAACAAAAATTTCGACAGACCAGCACCACTGGAAAGAAACGCACTTGGCGATCGTTGAAACAAGTCTTGGCTCAAGAACGTTCGTTACCATGGCCAACGACAATAAAACATTGTATGCATCGAGTGTGACAAAATTTTTATTTTCTCTCATAGTTGCATTTATACATATTAGTCGGAAAATATTTAAACCGTAACGAGACATTTTCATATAATCTGCACGTGATTAAGATCGAAATAGTTTCGCGACGTGTATTAAATACAGAGAGAGAGAGAGAGAGAGAGAGAGAGAGAGAGAGAGGGAGCATATCGTTTTCAGCATAAATCTGTTTAAATTTTAGACAGTTCCATCAACGCACCGCCGAGCTTCAAACCTGCAAAAAAATACTCTGATATTTCTGGATTGCCGGTGAGTAATCCAGAGAAACGATTGCTGTAATATTTATTAACTAGTCAACATTTAATCAAGCTTTTCCTCGATGCTGTAAGCTCGTAAAGCGCGGTAAACTAATTTAAATAAACAAATTGCATTTCATTTATAGGCACGATACACGGATCCACAAACTAAATTGTATTATGCCACCGCTGAAGAATTTGCAACGGTTCGCAGTTTACCGATGGACATAACAGCCGGATATTTGGCTTTACGTGGAGCGTCTAGTATCGTTGGTTAAATAATCTGATACTCGACATAGCTTAGCAGTCGTGACTACATCTTGATCTATATATCGTCTGGCAATGCAATTCAATCATCCAGTGATCGTTACAAGAGTTTACAATTTATATTTTAAATATATAAACATCTATACATTTCGCAATATGTTGCTTTTAACATCCTAGAGTTTCCTTCTCATTCACATTCACGAAGAACAGGGATACATCGATAGGGATGGAGTGTTAGATGGAACGATTCAATCGATAAAGAGACAGAGTAAATAAAGTATCGATATTTTTTTTCAGACAACATATTTATAACATTTTCACGTGATGCCAATTTACTTTGCAGGATTTTCCAAAATGAATAATTCCATGGATAATTTTGGTTTTCATTTCTTTTTTGTTCTTATCTTCTTTGTGTTACTTTACACAGTACATTATTAAAAAAGCTTGTCCATTATAACTTAGTATATGAACTAGAGGTTAATAAAGGGGAGAGACCTGCGGAGGACCTTCGAGAGCTGTATTACTGTTCATCGACTGTTGCACTGAATCTTTACATTTTCTTTTTTTTTCAGTCCAGTTTACGCGCCCCGTTTGCTACTAGCAACACGGCCATTTTAACAAATTTGCAATTGAAGATACAAACAGCAAGGCCTACTGAAATATTGCCCGTTCGTGCACTATCCTTAGGTTGCCATTTGTCTTTAATGTAATTAATTACTTGATCGATGTGATTATTTTTATCGCTTTAGTCATATAAATCAGGAAGATCTTCATCATCGCTATCAGCATCGTTGTCCCCTAATTCATCCAACTCATCAAAATTTGGCTTGCTATCGCCCGAGCCGCTTAGACCACCCATCTGTCGCATCATCTGCGAGATCAGAAAAAAGTATATATATCAATTATCGACAATATCTTGATAATTTTTGGCTACAAATACACGTGGACATTCGTTCTTACCTCTTCTAAATCTGGCGGATTACCTTCTTCGTCGGTATCGTCCTCATCCTTCCATTTGTTAAAATCGCTCTTTAACCAGTGAGCCTTTGTTTTGTCTTTAATTAATCGTGGCCAATATGGTCCCTCTTCTTTCTTAGCAAGAATCAACTCAAAAGTCCTACCCTTCATATTTTTTATGGTTTTGCTGGGCTCAATTTCTTTGTACAGATTAATTGTAATTTCATGCATTTTTTTATCTGTACCTCCCTCTCCTTTGAAGTATATCTTTTCTGGTTCGATTTCAATAACAGGATCTTTACAATCTTCTAAGCAGATAGTAACATATAAGATATCTTTTCTTTGAGCCCACATGACTGGGGGAGGAGGTATCCTAAAAGTTGAAAAAGGAACAAAAAATATTATGCATGTATGTATATATGTATATAAGTTGCATACAGCAGAAGCAGCTTTACAATTGTAGGAAAATATTCTTTAATATGATTGATCTTGCCTTTAAGTACTTCTTCATTGAATCTAATTATATAAAACAATCTCCGAACACAATTGCAAAGTTGCTTTTTCTGCTGAATGCAATCAGGATAAAACTCGAAAAATTAAAAATATTCAATTATTCTAACTGAATAAGAATCTAATGTAAAAAAGATATCACTTTTTGATATCACATTTTGAAGAAGTAAAAAAAAGCTTCCGTGTATATGAATCTATAATTGATCTAAAGAATTGAAATTTAAGTCGAGACATTCTCAGACTTGATCGAAAATTCGTCTTTTTTTCTTTTGATATCCCTCTGGTTCTCAATTTTAACCAGAGTTCTACAATAAGCAAGTAGTATTATACTAGTGCACATGAAATATCTCATAATTTTTAGAGTAAGTAACATTACTCGAAACACTCTCGTATTTACTATTTCGAGTATTAAATATCCTGAAAAATCCACATAAACGAATTCCCACGTGTGCAGTGTGTATTCTATGTACATAAAGGACCTGTTGTACCTTTATAGGTTAGGGACAAAAGCTCGATGCTATTTCGCGACGCATCGTGATTTATTCGAGTCGTTACAGTGCGCTGATATGCGCGACATATATCATGCGGCGCAGTGACGCGAAGAGATTCGCTTATCACGTTAATCATTGCAAAACGAAAATACGAGCACGTCGAAGAAGCGAGTCATCGATGCCCGTCGTCCGGCGCGACATTGTTTCGATTCGTACGAAAGAGGCGGAGGAAAAAAAAAGAGCGAAAAGAACACGTCAATACGGAGATTAACGCGAGCGAATAATCGCGTTACGCATTTTCGTTCGAAAGAAAGATTGCCGCCATGCGGTTAGGTCGTATCTCGGTCGAGAAACTTGGAGAATCAATAAAACCGTCTCACCAACATGGCGATGCTACGGAAAGCACGGGGCGGCATTTACATACAACCGCGACAGTTATTCGTGGCTATACGCGGACGCGCGGCTACGGAGATCATCATCAAGCCTGCCGAAGCGAATCGCCACGCCAATTTATGTCAATCCTAGGATACTTACTGGCTTTCTTGCGTCATGCTTTCGACAGCTTCGCTTGCAACGAGAATGAAACAAATACACAGCGCACGTAGCGCACTCACTCACGCTGACACCGCCGCGCGCCACTCGTGGCCGCTCGGCGTATCCGATTCGAGATTCTAGATTGTTCGGCGTTCGCGCCACTTCGATATATCGTTTATTCTCATGAAACTCTCAATCGATGTGATTCGATTGGCAGCTTGCCAAACTGCGTTTTGCTCTCCGCGATTTATCTACATACATAAACTTACAGGAAAAATAAATATTTTAAAAACACGTTGCTATTTTCTTTATAATGTGATTTAATAGATTTATTATTTTACATGTTTATTTCTTACAATATCGCAATATGTTTCGTGTATCTATTTCATCTTCCTCGCCATGAAAGAAACGTGTAACGAATTAATTGTACTATAAATATGCCCGTTCTTTTTAGCTGAACTTTTGTATTGGTTCATCTTTCTTCCTCTTCTTTTCTCTTGGAGAGAAAAGGAAAACAGATGAACCAAAAGTTGCAGAGCAAAAGTTCGCAGCTAAAACGAACATGCCTAATGTGAACTAGTTAGAGAAGGCTGCTTGAGAAGATCCTTAGCGATAAGAAAAGAAAACGCCGATTTCGCAATAAATCAGCACACATCAAAAACACGTTTATGTATACAGGGTGTATCTTAAAAAGCGCCTTCTAATCATATAGCATATTATTCCTGATCAAAAATTGAGTCGAAAAGTTCTGAGCTATACTGCAATTTTTTTACAACAGTTAACGAGATATTAATTCCTAAAGATTGCCAAATATGCAGATAAAATTGACATAAGGCCAGAATCAGACTACGCATTGAAGATTGAGATTAAAAATTAATGATTGAAATTTGATCAGTCTTTTCCTCACCAGAGTGAGGGCAAAGAATTTTAACTTCTATCGTTTTGATCGATCAAATTTCAATCTCTCAATCTGATTCCGGCCTAAGACAACTTTAATATATATCTTTCGATATTTTTATAAAATACTTATCTTAAAGATGTTTTTAAAGAGCTCCTTAAAGATATCTTGAAGTTGTCTTACGTGCCGATTTTATACATTTCGCTCATTGAATAACTAAAAAAAAAAAATTGTGAAAATTGCAAAACAATAGAAAAATTTTCGATTCAATTTTTACCAAAAATATAACACTATATGATTGAAGATCACTTTTTAAGATACACCCTGTATATATATGCATGTAAATAAATGTTATTGCGACGTCTTATCTGCGAATATATTAATTTTAAGATAGGAAATTTGTATTATATACTCAAGAGAATCGAAACGTCTCTATAATTTTATATATTTTAATAAAGAATATATATATATATACACGTTAACAGCTTATGTGTGTTAGCTTTAAAACGCTATTATTTTATTATTTGTTTGATTTATTCATTAAAGCCTAATTTTCTAAAATTTGATATATTTATAAATAAATAAATGCGCGTGCGTGCATGTACATTGCAGCACACACCGCGCACATATCGGCAAGGATAGAAACAAAGCGGTTTAAGTCAGAGTTTACAGATTGTAGGTCATACGTTGAGGAGGGGGCACGGGGAGAAGAAATCCGGTGGGGAGCCATTCTTCTACCGCGAACTAACTGGACACGCGGACGCGAGTACAACAGTTTCTTTCTCCTGCAGGTTCGATTCAGGTGCGATTTGCCATCCGCCGCGCGCGTCCGCTCTTTTCGTTATCGTGCATGCGTGCGTGCGTGCGTGCGTGCGTATATACATGCGTGGGCGCGCGCGAGTGACACGTAATGTAAGAGAACGAGAAAAGGCGCGCCCTGATCCCTGTATCGTGATCGATCGATCGATCGTGCGACGCGACACGGTGCGACGCGATACGGTGCAGTCGCGCGGCTTCTCGACACAAGTACGTATATGTACGCACGTTTTTTCGTGTAATACGGACCAAAATCTTCTCACGAAGGTAGAAATATGATAAGAGAGCAAATGTAAGTTGTACAATACGCAAAATAGTGTGAATTAAAAGCGGTATTAGAGAGCAATTGATTTATAGGAATTAGGAAACTGCAAGGGGGAATACAGAACGTATTTATCGCGCGCTTTGAAAGAAGAGATACTCTCAAGAAAATGTTTTCTCTGTTTTCACTAGGTGTATATGTTTGCACGGGAACACAGATTTTAAGTTGTAAAATAAAGATGAGAATAGAATATTTATGGATTGAGAAAATGTGTGTACAACGTGTTCCTTTTATTATTATTATAATATGCATTATACCGTTATTCACATTATTATACATATATATATATTTTTTTTAATTAAACTTTCTCGTAATTGATAACGAAGATAACAATTATAACGCAGAGAGTATATTTTTGAATTTTAACGTTTTTTTCTCTCCGAGATACACCATATTAAAAAATATGAAGAAGAGAGATACAGGAGAGTCTAAGCATCTCTAGAATATGTTAAATTTCATGTATTGAATACATAAAATACGTACAAAGTTCAAAGAGATAAAAGTATTAAACGCAACGTTAAATCAAACGTTTAAATCTTGTGTTTTTTCTATCCTGTTAGCTTTGTGCAACGATAGGGACTAGGTATCGTCCCTGTGTCAAATGTGAGTGCGACGAGTATTTCCGGATAGGAAAGAAAAAGGTGTGGATGACAGTAATGACGATGAGAAGAACGACGTGACCTTCGATTTGAAGCGGGTATCGTGAGCATCGGTCGAGGCACTATGTCGACGAGTTCGCTCTTTTACAAGGACAAGTACGCGGTAAGTGCGTATGATGCGCATATACATGTATACTTCTCTGTTTTATCGGTGGCCGTTTTTAATTATCACAGTCAGCACCAGATAATAAACGCACTCGCATACCATCGTATAACACATACAGATGGTGAAGGAAAACTTTCAATTGAAAATTAATAAATCACGCGAGTAAGTTTTTCAGCATAATCTATCCCATGCAAGGAAGGTCGACATGGTAAATAACGCAGTTACTTAAAAATATCTATTAATCAGATTAAAAAAATGCGACGGCGTCATCCATGTTTCATATATGCAATTACATAGGTTACGCCTATGAGCTTATGCGCTTCTATGCACTTGCCTATGCGCCTATGCGCCCATAGATGCGCTTCTGCGCGAAGCGAGAAACTCCACGGCTGCGGTAAAAGCGGTACATCTATGTATAACGACGTGCTTTCACTCTAGCCTCGCGAACCCAGCAAAATCGCAGTTCCGCGTCTAAGTAATAATGATGTATCGCCGATGCGTATCGGCGTAATTGCGATACAAATCCAATTGTAGCCGGTCGATCAGTTATTATCCACGAATGACTAACGCCGGATAATTATATCGTCATGCAACAATTGTGTCAATATACGTTTCCGCGAATGGTTGCAACGCGAATAATACCGTCTGCTGACTACTGCGGCATACTTCCAAATCTCCATAGTATCAATTAAATAAGGAACAATATAGCTGCCGTCGAAATTAATCGCGCTCTCTAATCAACACTTGCTCCAATACACATATATGTATATCTTTATTATTTTTTTCTTTTTTATTCTCTCTCTTTCTCTCTCTCCCCTTCCCTGTTTTTCTTGTTTGGGGGGGGGGAAGGGGGAATGTGAATATAATCTCGGTCAAACGTCCGCGTTTACCGTAGCCGGCAGAATTTACCACAGGACAGTAACAATAATGTATACGTCATAGAAAAACACAAAAGGTGATGTGTTACAAGGTCGAAAATCTCATATCTCGTTGATGTATCTGCCGATATTTATGAGTACTTAAATACGTACGTTCCTCTCTCGTATTTTCTTTTCTTTTTTTTTTCTATCAAGGTGGGCGAAAGCATTATTGAATAATTAACAAGTTCGCCTTCGCCCGCTTCATTTTTAAGAGAGCGTAAAATTTTCGGGTTTCTCTTTCGTTTGCAATGGGCATCGAATAAATTAATAATTATTGCCTGTCTATGTCGCAACTTGTTTGTTCGTTCGAAAGAATCAGATATATTTGTATCGATTGATTGCGATATTATTGGATATTACATTGATAAAATTATCTGTTCATTAACGGAATAGTGCTGAAACATTGATATCTAGCATTAAACGTTGCAAACAATGCTATAATATATAAATTATTTTCTAAATGTATTTCGTATAATAAATTATATATATAATTAAAGATATATTAATAAACACTAGAAAACTGTTCTAAGAGAAATGATCGAATTGCCTATTAATAGAGAATCAAGTTAAAATCAATATGAATTAGCATTAATAACAAAAATGTATTATTAATATTTTAATGATATACGATACAAATTACAATATTGTATATATGAATCAAACAGTTACTATTAAAATTACGCTGTAAAAAAATTCCGTAAATTTACACATATAATAGATGTAAAAATTACATGATTAGTCCTGTAAGTATAAAATATCAATTGTAATTTTATAGAAATTATTTAATTGCACAAAAATTCTGTAAATTTGCTTTTATTGTGTAAATATATCTTATTTTATATGGAAAATTACATAAATAGCAGGGTATTTTGAATATTTTCTTATTATCCAAATTTTAATAATATTACGTAATATAACAGTAATTTTTCGAGTATTGTTAAATGTATAATAATATAAGTGCGAAATGTATTGTTATATTATCGCGTTCCTATAACTACACATTCACATTATGTAGTTCTACATCCTGTTTAGTTAACCAAGAAATTATTTTTATTTGCATATTGCAAATTTACAAACGCATGAACGTTTACAATTATTATAGTAGTCTCAAAATTGCCCACTAATAATAGTTGTAATTTTACACAAAAATTTCTTACAGTGTAATAGCAAAAATTTTAATGTAACGTTTAATGCATGTGATTAAATAGAGAATGTAATAGAAAGGAGTTGAATCGTGCTAGTATTCTTATATCGAAGCTATTTAAAACATGAATCGGCGTGTAGTGATTATCGTTATGGGAACCATTCTAATCACTTTCGAGAGCGCGCTCTTCGATATACGAAGAATCGCAGGTGCATCTGCAAGTGCAGTGTTATCGTGCCCTGCTGCAAAAT